CACACACACACACACACACACACACACACACACACACACACACACACGCAGTATTATATTCACGAATAAACAATATATATAATTATATATAATAGTTTACTCAACCGATCTCTTCTTGTCACCAAATTACTAAATTTCATTTCGAAAAACCGAAGCTTAAGGTTGAATGCCTGCTTTTTTTGTGAGATTCCTCCAAGGAATGTCTAGTAGAAAAATTGTGGAAGTAATTGCTAAAAAATGCCTTATCCCTGCAACTGATTGCCTCACCCGCCAACTAATCTGCACATTCATTTATTACCACGAGAAGTTTTAATGCGTTTTCTGATTTTACGCCCATTCTCACAGCGAACACCGTCCATCTTTATGCCCACTGCACACGTCAGATGGGAGAACATTTCTATGTACATTTATTTAGGTCATTGCTGCATGTGTCCAGGATGTTAAAAACTTACCCTATGTGAAAAACTAAATTATAGATTTCACACAATAAATGCAATCACAAACCTCTCGAACCCGCAAAATGATAAAAATAACTACAACAAGAAAAATGCGACTTGAATCTTTCTTTATAAATAATACTATTTTTCATTTTCATCATAGTAAACCTTGTGGAAATAATCTTTATACGGTAAACAAAATACGGTACTAAAAATTTTCTCCACAAATGTAGCTGACAGGAGCGGTAAATTTTATGTTCAGCAATTTACTCTCGACTCTTTGGTGTCTACACTAGTAATCTGTACATGCACCACGATAACTTTGCGATAAAGACAACTTCAATAGTAAACGAACGATTTCGTGCAACGCTCCCATCACCAAAAAATGTGGCTGGAATTTTTGTTAGATTTAAAAATCGAGTCGGTTTATTTTTCAGAATGTATGTTAGCTGTTTCCCATATTCTGACGTGTAATTAAATAATAAAAGCTAACATATTGCTGTAAATGCATCTTTTTGCGCCTTATTTTTCAAAACACACAATAAATTCTAGATTATTGCATGAAATTTCGGACAACATTTCGAGGACGGTTTCATTCGATATTCGGCGATACCGTATGAATATGCTGAATTATAATTAATTAATATTTTTTATTACATAAAATACATTACGGTTAGAAACCGAAATATACAGCGTATATTTACTTTGCTATATTCTACTGTTGCGTAGTTTGCTGCGTGTAATGGGTAACGTAAAGTAATTAATTATCAAGGGAACACATGTACAAACTCTTGTTAGGAAGCGAATTGAGATTTATGTGGAACTCGCACTAGGAAAGCAACGTAAGCTTCATTGCATTACCAAATATTAACCTTTATTTCTATTCCTACGAATGTGGAATTCAAAGGGAAATTTGCATATGTAAGCATTATCAATAGTAGTAGTAGTAGTTATTGAAATATAGTTCGTTTCAATTAATTTTACATGAAAGGGAAACAAACAAGCTATGGACCCGACTAAATTGTACTGTCAGTTACAAATCAATTAATTAATTGAATGGTTTGATTTGTTTAATTGAATAAGTTAGAATAGCGATTTAGCTGCTGATAAGTAAAAAAATTTGCAATTCGATATTTTTGGTGATGACGAAAAGTCGTCTTTTCAGAGATAAATAACAAAAAATCTGAATGCATACGAACTCCCTTGTCTAGTCAAATCGCAGACGAAAGCGCAGTTCTCATACAAAAAAATCAGTGACGAATGATCTATCAATTGGTAAACAACATGGTGGACTTAGCAACTGACGGCATTACAAGGATCACAATTTTTTTGAAATTCGTATACACTTAGAAAATATACTTATCATCTTAATTTTATTGGGCACTTATTAAAATGATTACTTTAAATTTACAAAAGCAGCAGGCAAAAATCTAAACGGTCAACTTTTTAAATGATTGATCCTCTTTCTCTGAGACATAAAAGAAATTATTTTTCACCAAATAAGGCGCTGCTCAAACTTGTGGCAACTGCCAGTTGCTTGTATCCAACACAAGACACACGTTTGCGCGGCGCCTTAGAGTATTTTAAAATGCGGGGAAAGTTAAAAATGTCAGCTATCCTAGGTTTGTTGGTATAAAATATGTAATAGTATGTAATTTCAACTCGAAATGTTGACGATGCATTTATTATCTTACCTTGTTCTCCTGCACCACTTCCACATTGTTGACCACGACGCGGTACCACACGATCCACAAAATGTTAGTTATTGTAAATGCCATAAATAGGTGCATGTGGATGCGTATCCGGGTGCATTGTAGAGCCCTGTGTGTGACATTTAACTATAAGTAATTAATTAACTAGGAGTAAAAAACGAAAGAAAAAATGAAAATAAGTAGTATACTTATTTTAATTTTTTAAGTGTCAGGGCTTAGGGCTGGTCTAAAGTAACTATGATTTTTGAAAAATTTATTTTCAAGGTTCTATAATAGCTACTAAGGACGGCCACTAAGCCCCATCTGCTAAATTTCTAATACTTTATTATAATTTTCCAACGGAATGTCAGATGATAATTCTTTTTTTACCTCACAAGCTCGGCTTTCTTTCTTATTAAAAATCTGCGCGCAAATGCGTTTTTTGCAAGATAGCGTGGAAAAGGTTTTTGAAATTCGAACTTGACGATGGACTGCTGGTGCACCAAACTTTTCCTTTCGATAAAAAAAAAAAGATAATGACGCGGTCAATTATGCGATTTGTCGAGCATTACTTATTTATGAAATATAAATCCGTTGGTATATTTTATTCTTATTATTGTTGACATTAAATTGACAATGTTAACTAATTGTGTAATAAACACAAATTATTTTAATTCGTGAAAGGGCTAAAATAATTTCAATAATCACTTAATCGCACTAAATAAAAGTTCAAGCTAGAATAAAAATTGATGAGGTGTAAATTCTGAACGCTCCCGAAGATTAACTTTTTCTTTTAATTAAAAAAACTGACGTTTTAAAGTTCAACTGTTTTTCTTTCATCTGCCATTTTCCTCGCTATAGTGAGGTGAAAATTTGTGGGTTTCGCTCGGCAGCAAAGTTGTTTTGCGTCTTGTGCCTCGAAACCCTCGCTACGCTCAGGAACTTTTCGCTTTCGCTGTTCGCTTCGCTCGTGGTTCAATTTTAGCTTCCTTCGCTTGCTCAGGTTTCAATACAAGCATTCGAACAACAACTTTGCAGCCTTGCATAACAAATAACTATTTAAATAAATTACTTATGGTTTCCAACTTACCGGAAGTATAGAAAGATGAGCAAGGAAATCAATAAAGCAGCTACCGATATCGAATAGCCTCCTACATAGATGACGTTCACCACATTCCGGAACTAGAAAAATAGAGATGTTTAGCGAATGGGCTTATTTGTATTAGCTTCTTGAATGTAATTAAATAAACAGACGTGTCAATATTAAGTAACATTTTGTAGTATGGTCATTCCTAAGTATTAGGTGTGGTTTAATTGACATGATAGAGCGATTGTACCTACTGACCCTTAGGAGCCCAAGGGACAAGTCATAAAATCAGCACAAGTTGAAGCAGGTACTTACGTCTAAATCCTCAACATCGACGCAAGTTGTATAATTTGTCCACGGTCGCCGAGCTTCTGGGTGAGCAAACCACGTCCCGTTTTCTGTACATCTGCAAATGTCCTTTTTTTTCAGAAAACTCTTTTTAACGGTAACATTATTGTTAGAAGCCTGTCATGATTTGATTTTACGATAATATTTTACTCTGGTAGACAAGCCCTCAAGGTAAATGAATTTGAAGGTGTACAGGTATTGCACCGTCCTTGTTTCAAGTTACAGCAAAGTAAAGAAACATTATTGTAAATGTAGATATTGCAAAAATTAAATAAAAATGTGGGCTAATTTGATAACAATAGAAAGACAAAAAGGAACAGAAAAATGGTACGTCTACATATAAAATAATAAGTATATTTTCACTTAAGAAAACGTATAAATGAAAGGACGTTGGTCAGACAGAGTTACAATAGAGTACGTACGCAGCTTTGACTGAGATAAGATAATAATCCCTAAGACAACATCGTAGACTATATACACATTGTACTCGAAAATGCTACAGAGTAGTATAATCCAGAAATTCTTATAGAGTTTGGTCGTACAAAAATCTTTAATCTTTTATTCCTTATATACATTAGATTAATGTACACGTGTTAATACAGTCAGCGCCGTGTTCTTAATATAAATATGTTAATTCACTTTTCACAGATAAATTGTTTATTTTTTCTTCTTTTTTTCCGTTTTATAGAATCGACACTCCATATTAGCCTGACTAGCCACCGTAATCTCTCGGATATTTTTAACTGCAAACCTTTATGATATAACGTTGATTACGATTTCAAAACTTCTTTGTAGTAAAATGATGTTTAATCTGAGGACGTTAAAATAAAGTGGTCCAATCTACCTAACTTAACGTAGCAGGTATATGAGCTTGATCTGTTGCGCTTGAGGAAGTGGATGCCTCTCAGCTGCTATATTGGATTCGAGCATAGAACTTGTTGATTACTGAACTGTGGTTTATTCTAGGCTTTATATTAAAGCGTGAAACACACAGGGAGCGGGTGCGAGTGGAGAGCAGACACACACTTATAATTAGACCCGTCACGGTCACGACCCGACACGCGCCCCGGAGCCGCACCCGCTCTCTGTGTGTTTTATTGTATTATTGCAGTTCAATAGATAGGAATACTATTATTACTTTTTTGGATTACCGTATTGGTGTAGTTGCCACTTAGCAGGAATGGCAGTTATGTTGTGATGATGACTTCCTCAAAGAAAGATAACTGTCATTTTAAAAACATTGTAAAGGCTGTTGGTGCGGTACAAAAACAAAACAAGTGGATCCTAAAATAAAGAGAAATACAGTTGAAACAAAGGCATCAAATTTTGTAAATACTTCTCATAAATTACAGAGTTTGGGAAGATGTTATTACAAGTTTAAATGTAATTACTTAGTGTACGGCAGTTTAATTAAACAACAAAACTTCACCATTTGAGAGCCCGTTGTAGCAGATTTTTAGTTATTTAAATTTGCATAACAATATCTTTGCATAGATATTTTATTACATGTGTTTTATGCATGTTGAGCTAACACTGTTCTACAGCGCTATTCAAACCTAACAAGAAATGTACTGTCCTGCAGGTACTTTGCATAAGGTATTTAATTTATAGTCAAATTTGTAATTTAGTAGCAGTAGAGCTCCTTGTGAAAGAGTTCGTCCAGAAAAGTAAATAAAAAATAAAAAAGACTTTATTATTCATTAATTATAAAAAGTAATATATAGTTCCAATTACTTATTATGTACTTTGAAGTAATTTATTAAGGACCCCTCGACAGGTATTATATTGCTCCAGTAATTTAATTTTTTTGCGATCTTTTGCTTTTTATCGGCCATGACTTACCAACCGCTTTCTCAATCTCGTCACGTTAACATTCTATTGGTCTGTCTCTTCTTCTGTTTCCGTTTGGGCCTTTCCAAGTGGTTGTTCTGAGAGTCCATCTGTTGTCTTCAGATCGTGGCAGATGGCCCTCCCATCTCCATTTCAGTGCTTGAGCGGGTTGAACAGTATGTACAACTTGCGTTTTCTTTTTTAGTACTATGTTTCGCTGTTTGTATTTTAGTCTGATTTTTAAGATGCTTCGTTCCATGTATTATTTTTAGTTGTACAGACGACAGTACATTAAGTTACACATTACCGGATCTTGCACTGGAGGTAATATTCGAATAGCTTGATGTGCTGTTGATTATACCGTTTAAGATCCACGTCTGGCAAGCATAGGTAAGGCAAGCAGGCAAGATTTCACGAATTTCGCATAATCTTATATATATATATATATATATATATTATTTTTACGTAGTACACTACGTAAATATAGATTGAGAGAACAGTAGATTGTTTCGTTGTTAATTCTTATTTCTTCTTTTGTCGTGTTTGTTAATATCTTTACTTTTAGGGTGTTCATTTCCAAACAAACATTTCAATTTACCGTGTGTAGATCGTTTAGCATTTCTGCGAGTTTTTTAGCAGATTCGGATACCAAAACAATGTCGTCTGCGAACCTTAAGCGGCTAAAATGTTTTCCATTTATGGTAATGCCATTACGGTACCAATCATGGTTTGACATTATGTGCTCTTCCTATTTTTGTAGTATCATCCGTTCTAACTAGTTTGACTCTACTTCTGCTTTTATTGCAAATATCTTTAATTATGTTAATGTAAGTTTGTGGGAGCTATAAGCTTAAAGAGAGTCCCATATGCTTTAATGGAAAATAAAATCAAAGCCTTTGTGTAGTCAACAAAACCCTAGTATTGAGGTGCATTAAACTCTTCGTATTTCTCTATTATTTGTTCGATGGTATATATATAATCCACTATGCTTAATTGTTTGCGGAAGCGTGTTTGCTCCACTGGTAGATGTTTCTCTACAATATCTTTTATTCTATTTTCCCGACATGAGGTAAACAGCTTATACAAATGTGGCATTACAATAATGGGATGGTAATTTCCTTAATCGGCCTGATCGCCTTTCTTATACAAGAGTATTATATCTGAAAGTACTCTGAAGTCCAGAGAAGTATTGCCGCCTTACCTATTTCTGCGGCAGTAATGTGAGCATTAATGCGTTCCGATTTTGAATACTAAGCGTGCTGGTGAATTTACAGCTATATGGGCAATTTTTATAAAAAAAATAAGTGCGTATTTGACCTCCATCTCACCTGATGGAACGTGACGATGAGGTCGACGATTGAGCATGCAGATCTTTATGATTAGTGGCACTGTTATGGACAGGCGTGTCGCTTATCACCAGGCGCACGTCTTGTTCGTCCCGTTACTTGGTATACTAAAAAAATATGACATTGTAGGCTCGGTGCAATATAATATTATTAATATTAAAAAACCGTGTCACCATACAGTGGCTCCCTGTTTCACACATATATTTCATGTCCAGAGTGATAGTTTTGTACCGAACAGACTGCGGTACCCGGCTGTGCCTCGGCTTGTGAATATAACGTTAGTAAGTTTTACCATGTAGTGTTGTACCGTATAATGATAAAGACAATCAATGGGAAATTCTCGGTGGAATATTAATATTAACTGATAATAAAGTTGATTTATTTCATCAACTTTATTGTCAAGGGGATGGTGATGATGATGATGATGAAATGTACGTATATATATATATATATATATATCAAATACATACAAGGATGTAAAATTCACAAGCTAATATTATTATCAATATCTTTAAAATCGATCTTTTAGTACAGTAAATTTCATTTTGACGCGATAAAAATGCAATAAGAGTAGAAGATATAGACCAATATGTGTGCTTTCTGCCATATCAAATATCTTTGAAAAACACACGCTTACGAAAGTATCCAGAAGTTAACAATTTTAATATATAGGAACTTAACTCAAGATGCAGTAAGCAATCTAACATAATACTTATTTCGAAAACTTGATGGATATACAAAATTGTTTGGGTATATTTCTTGACAATTCCAATATTATTATGCTTGATGAATCATAGCATAGCCAGAGCTCTTACCTACAAGTAAGTTTCTGATTATTGTAATATAAAACTGTCCCCATGATCGCAAATTGCCTTCGCACTGTTTCGTCATATTGCAAAACATTTTTCCACGTGAAATCCACGTGTAAAAAATATATTTATCACCTACGACAAAAGTAAAACCCCGTGCACAATAAAATACTTTAATAGAAGGATCCTTCTGCTCCATTACCTATAGGGAATCGATGTGGAATACGACCCAGACCGTAACAAATTGCTTCTATTTCTTTCTAAGGTTTCTATTCTAAGATTTTGTTCTTTTGGTATTCAATATGATTATACACTTTTGTATTGAGAATCAAATCTCAATCTTTGTGTCATAGGTATGCAAATTACACTTGAAACAGTCATATTGATTAAACTCTATTGCCAATTCGTAAGGTTCCCCTGAGAAGAATGAGTAAGAAACTCTAGGGGTTGCTCTTTGTAAACAAACGTTGCACACATTTACCATTTACAATATTTATTTCAAATATCATATTGACACTGCTTGCAAGAGTTAAAACAGATCACTACCACAAATACACATTACGATTAAAATACAATTTTGTTGAATTACTGCTCTCTTAACTTATACTCATTGTTTTGCTTCTGTGTGTGGTTTTGTTTCGCGAGGCACACAAGACCCCACCTTAACCTGGGTCAATATGATGTGGAATACGTAAACGTTATGTTAGTATTACGTTGTCTGTGGGATTTAAAATGAGAGGATGAGTACATTTTCGTGAATTAATTATGAACCGGATAAACACAAGTATTATAGAATATTAGGTACAATCAAATTAATATGTAATCATTGAAATCCAAAAAGCCTTTACTAATCACAAGTTTGTTAATTACACAAATTTATATTTTACTGCTAAAAGGATATTTACCTATGAACTTTGCACACAACATAGAAGTGACATGTTCGTCACTTTGATAATGATGACGATTTAAATAAATATTTATATTGTGAAAATATAAATAAAAATTAATGGTCTTTAATACAAGCATTTAGTTTGTTAATTTGCTGAAATGAGAATGGTCCCTAAATGCGGTGCAGCTGCTAGATTCAAATAGGAGATGCAGAGGATCTCAACGAACTCCTTAAGTTAAAGACGATGTAGTTGACTGTAATGTATTGCAATAGGTAACTAGTTTACAGGAGTAGTGCCATTAGTCGTCGTTTCTTATGGAAGATCAAATCAAAAGTGAACAATATTTTTGACCTTTGTTAGATGCTACAAAAAATTCATTAAATACGTGGTAGTGATCAAATAATGTATATGTTGTGTTAGTTGATTGGTGCAATTGGACCCCCGGCCTACGTAATGTAAGGCCTACGCCTACCTTGACGAGTATTTTGTTACTGCTACGAAAATTACGCACACACTCAACATAGCCCCGCATTAGGGAAACCATACACGCAGACAATCAGAAGTGACACCCGTTTGGGTGGTTTTCACGAAATAAATGTAGGCCATACAAATATTTCTCCCGGCCCGGGAATCGAACCTGGGACCTCTGCGTTGCAGTCCGGCAAGGTAACCGTTTGGCCACGGCAGTTAAAGGTATATACGTATAATATAGACTTTTAGGGAGAGCAAAGTTCTTAGGTTTTCGCGATTGTGTAATAAAACTATTTTTATCAAAATTGCGCATATTTGTTTTTTCAAACAAACAATTAATGAAATACTTCGTATTTATGATTTGTTGGAACAAAACTGACATGCATAGACAGAACATCAGCCAATATAACGCGTGAATCATCTGCATTATATTCATAATAATATGTATTGTAAAATAAATAAATAATTATTATTATTCATAAGTATGAATTCTACTTATTCTTACATCGTAATAATGAAATAAATCACTAAATTTAAAGTAAATCACCGGATAACACAATTACTTTACAAGTCTAATTTTGGTCGTTTTTCTTAGTTCTCCCATAGTGCGATATAAGCACAATTTCTTGCAATTTGTGCTTTAAATCTAGGTGACGTTTATTGTTGATTCAATAGTCGAAGGTACGATACGTATTCGTTTGGAGCGGTTCCCTATTTAGGTCATGTACTGCACATGACAGCTATCATCTATTGCACGCTATAACGATGTCCAAAGTAGCTGGGAAGCGGAAGGATGGAAAAAGGAAAATGTCTTGGTTTCGTGCTTGAATATAAGGAAGTTTAGGTCTATTTATCTATCTGCATAAAGTAGCACGGATTCTTCATGACATTCCGTTGTGTTTGATTTGAGTGAAGTTTCTCAAACTAGTGGTCTGATTAAAAGTACCTTGATGAAAAAAATAACAATACTGTAATTAGAAAAATTAAAATATCAAAAGTCTTTCTAACGTTTGTACAATAAAAACAAATATTAAATCAATATTCTTCTGAAATTATAATGATTTGTAGTTTATTCTGTTTGATGCGAACATCAAGTACACCAGGTGACGTCATATATGTATATGTAGTCTAATACCTATGCAGGTAAGCAAACAAACTTCACCATATTCACTGTTCGCGTGTTATCTTGTTTTTTCCCCTTTAAACACCTTTTTAACTAAAAACTGTAAACATTTTGGATTGACGACCATTTAAGTATAAAAGTCAATCAATACGAGAGATTCCCGCAAATGGCACGTTCACATCAGGGCCTACCACAACCTCTTAAAACAATTATTACCTTAACTATGACTTTTCATACCATGACGAGCTTAAAGCAAGCTTATAGTAATGTTAAAACTATGATAGTTTATTTGTGACTACAGTTTGATTACTTGCCGATGACATCACGCGGTTTGAGTTTTTTTGCAATACTAAGCAACGGGATGAGCAAGTCGTGCGCGTGGTGGTAAGCGACACGGCTATCCAAATCAGTTGCAGTGTCACTCAGAGCTTTAAATCTAAAATCGAAGGGGCACAGCCACTGTGCCCGTCACCCAAGACGTACGAAGTTGACATGTCCCATGTGCCTGTAATTTCGCCAGCACTCTTACCCTTCGAAACCGGAACGCAGTAATGCTCACATTACTGCATGGCGGCTGAAATAGGTAAGGTGGAAATACTTCCCTGGACGGACTCTTTCACAAGGAGCGCTACTGCTATTTCCTTGGTATTTTTTAAATTACTTTTAAAAATATCGTTCTTCTTTAAAAGCTTTGTTTAAATAAAATAATGTTTCTTGGCTGTATACATCTATTAAACTTAATTTTAAATGTTTTCGGAAAAGTTGATCAATTCCCTAATGCAGGTTTTTTCATCAAAGACAACTATGAATCTAAAGTTACCAACAGAGGAATGACCGTCTCAAAAGGTTTCATTTCCGAAGCATTCAAAGCTGCATACGGTGCACGTGCTTGCAATAGATTCGGAAACTTTCCTGGTGAAGATGCATTTGTTATGCAATAACAGCAAAGTCTATAAACAACTACAATTAATTGCATTTCAATTGCAGGAAATATAAAATTTAATTAAGTATGTCTTGTTAATATTGAATCAAAATAGATACTTTGTACGTGTTCAAAGAAGAGATAAATAAGAGAACTATTTGTTTACTCTTTTTAACCGACTTCAAAAAAAAAATTATTATTATTTACAAAGATTTTTGTACATCGAAGTTTGTAATAAGTGTGGAATTATATACCAAATTCCGTATTCGCCATTTCTGCTTACGATTTTGGGCAGAAATGGATTAGCGCAACTAAGTTTTCTTAGCATTAAAAAAAATTGCCAATCTTATTCATTTCGTATGAAAAACATTTTATGACATTTGACCAACATCTGCTGTCCCGATTTTGTTCGTACCATACAATGAAATGATTTTTTAATGAAACTGCGTCGATCATAAAACTTAATGGGTCCTAAGACAATTTCCTAAATAATTTAGTATCTTCTATAGTTTCCGATTTCCCCATACTGTCCCATTTTAAACTTTAAACTTTATATTTAGATAATATCGCACTCGAAACTAAATACTGTCGTAACTGAAAATTGAGGAATTGAGAAATCAAGATTTGAAAACCCTGTTTTCTGAGACTTATTTCTAATAATTTTATAATTAGCAAATGTGTACGTTGAGTTTTGAGAGATTTATTGAGTGTTTTAGAATTAAAGTCTTTAGATAATAAGTAATTTTTTTTAGTCACTTTCAACGTCCTTGGTGTATTGGAGATGGCGTAAAGTAGTTGCTATTAAATTCTGATAAAATGTGATAGCAATATATTATTAATATCTTGTAAAACTATACCCTAGTCTGTAATAAGTCTTGTGAGCAGGTGGATTCACATACGAATGGTTGTGTTAAAATAATTTACTTTATCCTTTGATGTTTCGTTGTCTATAAAAATACGACAAGAAAACGATTTTTTTAGTGGATCCACATGTTAACATCCAAGCCTATTATAGATTGAAAAGTAATTTAAAATTTGTAAAATTGTTTTACAGTGTTTTACCTTTTGAACGCTAAACGTCGAGGGTCGAAACCGACGATGAATTCGGGGCAGGCCTGCACGGCTGTGGAGCCGGCTGGAGCCGTGTCCCAGCAAGAGAATCCATCGAATGTTCGAGGGCACCATGTTTCTGTGACATTCATCAATTGACATAACGTTGTGCGTGCAAGGACCTTGACAATGACAGAAAGCGGTCCACAAATGTGCAAACTGCTGTTCTATGGCAATGTCGTATGTACTAAAAATGAAAGTATGCGTGTGATGCTTGCTTATCTAATAAATATACATTATATTTTACGCGACTCGTTTCGTTATAAATACATTTATAAACGAGTAAACCCATTTTAGTTATTAGCAGAATTACGTTAAAGATTAATTAACTCTGTTCACGTTGATATAAGGGAAAATGTCTATTAACTGTTTGTACTTCACGTTCCATTCGAACCATTGGGTTGCTTGGTGATCACGCAATTAGAGTCTTGATTGAGTTCAACCCGCAGAGGATTTTGAATTGTTTTAATCAGTCAATCAAAACTAACCTTTTAATTATGATTATTTATTATTATGTTTTTGCTCTGTTTTCCACGCTTACGGACGGAAATCAAGTAAATGCAGTATGGTGTGTATCTTGTGGAGGGTGTATTGTAGTAAGAGTCGACTTCGTTTTATTATTATTACTATTAGAACGGTCATAACCGAAGAAAACTATCGACGAAGTTATTATATGTTGCGGGCCGGAAAAACATCACATTCCTTGCAAAATAGACATACCTACTATCTAAGTTAATATTATGAATTAAAAACTCACCTGATTGTGTTCCATTGCTGTCAATAACTCGACTGTGGGATATATTTTTCAAAAAGCACTCACGTAGTAGATTCTCTATTAGTTGGTACTTCGGACTCGAGATCACGTGCGTTGTATTTTGCATTATAACGAGAGCAACAAAATGTATTTTATTTTATTCCATCGCTTCGGCGATAAGCGGCGAATTTACAGATTTTCACGTTTTGTATGTCGGTGCCATCTAAGCCAAGATAAAATGCGTGAGAGGGAAATGATAAAATTGATATACCTACGTAGTGTTCATTGAGATTTGTAGCGTTTCCTTATGATGATTTTAGCTATATAATCGTAATGTCTCAGTTGATTATAATAGTAGAAAATTGCCGGACGGAGTCTTCTTTTGTGCATCACGAAACGACAAAATGCAATATTACAGTAATAAAAAAAACTTATTTAAAGCGATTTGACAATGTATAATAATTACTTACTTAATCTCGAGTGCTCATTAGAAAAAAGCAACTATTCTATATATACAGCTAATAGTAAAATTATCAGCACAGGTGCTACATCGTGTTATAGCGATAATTTATAGATGTTAAAGACAAGCTTAGTATAATAAACAACTTTTGTTCTACAGTATGTATTTGGATACTCTCCATGCGTGCATGTTTTATGGTACGGTTCATTGGCAAAAACATAATAAATTAAAAAGAAATAAACACTTTGATGAGCTCGTTGAAGGGTTAAAGAGAGCTTTATGCCGTTCTGTTAACACCTATTCAATCTCTTAACTGCGACAGCACCAATGTTTATGTATTGTTGGTAAATGTTTGAAAAGTAATTAAAATGTCACGTTCATTATCACATTTGTCATCAATCTATTACACGTCCCACTGCCGGACACGGGTCTCCGCCGAGAGGGTGTAGGTTATGACCTAGTTGGGGATTTTTCATGATTTCTAAGAATTGTGATCAGTTTTCACCTTGACGTTTACTTCCACAGATGTAAGTAACTTACACGTTATGGTCACACGGGGATTCGAATTATCAAGCTCTCAATTAGGGAACCAACTATTCTCTCACTGGGCTATCAGCACTCGTTTTAACAAATAATATTTTTAATCGATCTCTATGGCCCAACGGTTTGTGCTCTATGATTCCCGGTAGGACAAAATTGGGAAATAAACTTTTCTAAATTGGTCTGGGTATTCTGGGAAGTGTCTCAGAGTGAATTCCGTGGCTGTATCATAGTACAGGGAATTCCCTAATTTGAGACCAGGCAATTGGTGTGTTGGCTGGCACAATATTATAATTATAATCGCCAATTTCATATGATTACAAAATTACTTATAATTAAATGAATAGAAAAATTTGTATTAATAATATCAGAGAAATACGTTTCAATACATTATGTCTAGTGTGTCTGCTTTTGTGGTCGATTCCCGCCTGACTCACAGACAGCAATTTCGAATTCTACTGTTTATTTACGCTTCACAAATAAATCTGTAGTCACATGCGCTCATCCAAGGGTTAACGTTAGTGCCTTGTTAACATAAGATGCATTTACTTGATATCTGCTCACGATTTGAGGATTTTTTCTTCATTTTTGAAAAACTGAACCGGGTCCAAGGAGTTATTTTGAACTATATCAAACATGCATTCTATTGCATTAAAATAAATAAGAGCGTAAAGATTAATATCAAATATGTATGTTGTGTCAATATGAAAAAACCTACTTAGCAGAACATAATAAATTATGGTTTAAAAAACATACTTTTATAGAAAGTGAGTAACGCAAAATGCCTTTTTTTTTACAGAAAAGTCACCATTATTTCAAATAAATATGTGGAAATATGCAATTTACGGCACATGTAGGTTACTTAAATGAATATTTTTCTAAAAAGTATGTTTTTTACAAATTTGGTTAGGATCAAACTGTTACGAAGATATTTAATTAATTTAAAATAACTTTTTGCACAATCAAGAACACATCAAATTCGTGGCTTTGGATTTTGGACAACTCTCACTATCGGCATAAAATTGAATTGAAATCTTAAAGCTTTTTGCTTCTGTACCCACTTTATGAAACATGTAAAGGGCAATTATTAGGGGTTAAAGTATGAAATTGCCGTTTTATTGCAATAGGTTCT